TGGAAGATTATTTTCAAACTCCACCCGCAAGTCTGGAGTCCTGCCAAGTAAGTTATAAGCAGACACATTTATCTTTGTCACCTATTAGCAAGAGGAGAGCTGTCAGGATGGTGTAATAGCACCTTTTTACCTTTTACTCAAACAGTGATATGGATAGTGTGCTTTTTCTTAAATTACACTATGAGGAATTATACGAACACTGGCAATTTCTGTTATACTTAAGCAGGCAAATTTCCCTCTATCACATAATTTACAGAACTCAAATTCAATAAAACATTACAGGATGGTCCATTACTGTTATCAATTTTGAATAATCCATCTTCATTCTTCATTTTACTGGAAAATAAGCAGTGTGCCAAAGACAATATGAAAAAAGGAAGAGGGGGAAATGAAGAAAACATAGCTGGGTGAACTTTTATGCAGTCCTTTTGCATAAAAGGACAGAACAAGAGCTACTTACAAATCTGTTCTCAATGCTGCTAGTGTCACATAACATGCCAGTGAACCTAGAAGCTGGAGATTTCCAGTCTTTTCCTTGGAGAATCAGAAGAGTTTCATCCTGCTGCTCAAAATGGCAGAATGGAACCCTTATGCTCACACCGCTGACAAAAAGTAGACCTGCTAATCTAGTGAATTCACTACTACAGCAAGGGGAAAGGATACAGAAGCTGGATGAGGACTTTCCTGAGGTGTATCTACACTGTAGAATTATCATAGTTTGATACACATTAACTGCCATGACTCAATGTTATGAGACCTTGAGAGTTGCAGTTTGGTGAGGCACCAGCACTCTATGGCAGAGAAGGGCAAAGACCTTGTAAAACTACAACTCCCATAATTCCACAGCATTGCCCATGGCTGTTAAAGTGGTGTCAAATGGCATTAATTCTACAGTGTAGATACACTCCTAGCTTGTTCAACAATGCACTACTCCCTTCCAAGAAGATAAACACAGAAGAAGAACCATCAACAAAGACAAAATCTAACTGGTTTTTGGAACGTCTTTAGGATATTAATAGCTGGAGAGAGATCCAAATATATATTCAAAATATATTCACATAACTACCTTTTACTGTAGTAGCTAATTAATAGAAGTATTAATTAACAGTGAATTGAAGATTTCAGTAGGTAATATATATGTAAAAAAGAAGGAATGATCTACAAATAAAAATTGAGAAAGCAAATGCTATTCTCCACCCCCCAAAAAAAGAAGACCACATTTGGAGACTGAAAATAATGAATGGAGACAAAATCCCAGAGCATAAGTATGATTAGTACTAGCTTGGGTGAGACAAGATGTAAAAACATGATACGAATGAGAAGCGTGTGAACCAAAGAACTAGAAATTACATTGCAGTTACTAACCATAGTATCAACACTTAGGTTAGTAACTTTGTGTATGATATGTCTGTCTATATTATACATTAGCTAAATATAACATTTCAAATTGTCAAACCTGTCTGAACAGATTTCATTTTTATGTAAGAATGGGATTTCTTTTTTATTTATATATTTTGTAATTAAAAATTGCATATTTTTCTTAAAAGTCTTTAAAGAAGTGGGCTAAATACTGATAGCAAAACTATACTCATTTTTTAATAAATGTAATATTTGAGATATGATATTTTCCAGAATATTAGAAAAGATATGACCAAAATTATAGCTATCGCATTAAAATATCAACAAAAGAATCATAGAAGATAGCATCATCAATGCCACTCTTTTGCAAGAGTGCTATAGCTAAAATTCAGTAAAAACCGATTTGCACTAAGGGTCTAACACAATATACCACTGGTATCACTGAAGCACTTAATCTTATCAGCTAGTAAAAACCGCGTATTTCAACATTGTATAATATCTTAAGAATAAAATCAAACTGTTACTAGATTTCTATACATTAGTCAAAAATATAAATCTATTTCTCAATGAATGTTTTCTGTTGAAAAATATAGTAAAACCAACATTGGCCAACAGTATAAATTCCACATGGAACATCGCACAATTTATGTTACAGTACTTTCAATGTTATTAAAATTCAACAGAAGCAAAAGTATCTAAAACCTCCCTGTACTTCAATGGAGAAAATCACAGAGCTGAAAAGAATCACAAAATATTTTCAAGTGATATTGTTGAAAAGAATTATCATAGAATTGAACCATTCCATCTTCCAAAGCTCAGGCTGATAGATATTGCAAAGGGAGTTTGGGTAGTAAAATCAAATACTGATGAAATCAAATTGTTTCAAAGTATCAAAACAAAAACATCCTAACCAAAAATAGGGCTTCACATATGACCTTAAGCAATTTATGGGGAAAAAAGGGGGGGGGAAGCATAAAAATTTGAGCTGCCTTTGGTTGAAGCTGATGGATACTGGGCTAGATTCAACTATGTTCACCTGGAAACTGAAAAAAAATAGACAACTGGACTGTTGTGTCATAATAGCACAATGAAAATTCATGTAAAGAATTTTTCTAATCTGTACATTCTGACACTCAAGATATCTCTATAAATTGTATAGGTGCTGACAAAGAGATTAGTCATACCAGAGAGAAAGGTACAATCCATCTAGTATGGGATTAGGGATGCATCAGTAGGCAGCCTACATTTTGTTTAATTTAGTGCCTATCCCAACATAACCTTTTTAATGTAAGGGAAGTAGCTCATCAACAATGAAGACCATAATCTCTACAAAAAAGAAAGAAAATGAAAGAAAAAATTAGGTCCACCCACATCTTGCAAGGAACTGCAATGTGAAAATATAAAACAAAACGTATTAGCACAATCTTCAGGGGTCTTTCTCTCACATTCTTTCTCTCATCTTTTCATCTATGTTTAATGTACTGTACAGACACTTTTAAAAATATGGTACTACTTCAATAACTTTCATTCTTTGATATGTTTACTCAATTTTCAAGAAAGCAGCTGTGATGTTATTTGCAGTGTGGGACACAGTTTCTTTGGGTATTTTGAAATAACGTCCCTGTTCTGCTTTTCATACCATTTCAAAACTCTTTTTTAAATGTGCTACTACATTTTATAAACAACAGGTGTAATTTTAATCTCTTTTTAGTCATTAAAAAGACTAAGAAATAGTAAGAAAGAGATTTTCTTGATGCTGTGAAGATTTTTTAATGAGCCTTTCAGTATTTTTCAGTAAAGCTGTTATTATCCCAGTTATTTATTGAAACATTTACTTTTTTGGAATTTGATTCGATGTTTATGAAGGTTACATTGTTCATTTTTTTTTATCAGGCATTGAATTTAAGTTTTATTAAAACTTTATTATAGCATTTGAACAGTTAGATAAAATACTGCATTACTATATGCTTCTTTTTTATTTTAATGCAGCTCTCCTCCATGGCCAGGAAACGACGTTATAAAATTAGACTTTTCTTGTATTTGCATGGCTTATGTTCTGAGCAAATATTGTCACATCTGTAACCGTTGGACTGGCTTTTTATAAAGTTTCTCCAACCTTCTATTTTTAAAAAAATTATTTGTGTTAGCTCTTATATAATATGGTGTTCATCATCTTTGGCTTTTTGTTGTGTCTCATTACTACATTTCCAACTTTTTTTATTCTGTCGCTCATCTTCTTTCATATCTTCTGTAAGATAAATATTAGCAGCTGGCAAAAATCAAGAGGGAACTGGGCTGGGACAGGAGAAGATTGACAACCTCTCTCATTGCATCTGTACTGTTAAAATGGGCCTGTTTTCCAGTTTGTGACCTTCAGTTCTATCGTAAAAAATATCAGATTGAAAGTTTCCCATGAGTACAACGTTGATGCATTACACCACTGAATCAGTGGCTCGCCCAACAAAATAGTATTGGTGCCATTACTGAGACACCTAATCTCTATGTGTGGGTAGTTGCAGCAGTCTGACAGCCAGTTTTCTGTTCCAGGACCCTCTAGGAGTTGTATGGACTCCGAAGAACTCCCCAAAGAATTGGCAGGAAGTCTGTTGGTGTTTCTGAAAAATGGGGGAGTAAGTAATGGTGAACAGTGTAGCAGATTCTACAGCCTATTTTGAGAGTGAATTGTCATGGGATGGGGTTACTTTCAGGAACAGTAGTTCCCTCTCCCTTTTTTGGTGAAAAAGAAAGAGAGCAAAATTGAGAGAGATTGCAGAGACCATAAAAACAACGGTGGAGGAATATTTCAAGGCCATAGCTTGACAACTTCTGTGCTAGGGCAAGGGATGGATCCACAAGAGAGCTATGAGATGGGTAAAAAATAAACTGAGGTCTTTGTTCAGTTGCTGCCGTTTTTATGAAATTGTTCAATACTGGATAAAAGAATGGCCATGTTTGGATATAACCATTAGATATGTGTAACTCAATTTTGATAGGCACATGGTCTAAAGCAAGTCTGTACAACCTGTGGCCTTCTAGATATTTGGACATCAGGTTCCAGAATTCCTGATCACTGGACAAGCTGGGTAGGGCTTCTGTTATTTGGAGGCCCAAGCACCTGGAAGGCCACAGGTTGTGTAGTTCTGGTCTAAAGTCATGATATTAGTACCATTTTGTGAACTGTACTAATAAGAAGCACTTTCAGCTTGCAGTGTTAATATGGAAAAAAGTTCTATACAATATTAATAAAATCAGCTACTTTCAGCAGAAAGTATAAGTGCAGATGGGACCACTGTTGGATTATTTTTAAAATGTTTTTCAACATAAGAGCAAAGAAAACTATTGATAATGAAATGGTGCCTTAATATAATTCTGAATTTGTAAAATGCTGGCTTACACCAACATCTGTAGGACAAACAGCTGAGTGGTTAAAATTTCTTAGTGCAAGAAGGTAATTAGTATTACAATTACTCGCAGGTAAGTGTGGCAGGTATCACAGCTTAGCTATAGTTTGAATATTTCTATGTTGCATCATGTTCTCCCTATCCATCAAAGCAAATCTGTTAGAGCAAATAACAAAATAACGAACAGGGCAGATGGGGAAAATTAATCTTGCTCTTTTTTTTTTTAAAGAAAAGTCTAACCTGAGTTCTGTTAAATGCCACACGTGCAAAAACTGCCTGCGAGATTCCTGCTCGTTTCAATTCATCACGCACCCACTGGTAGATTTCGGAAGACACCTCTGTGTTAGTTGAGACCTGCTGCTCCAACGGCTTGTTTATGGATCTGCTGACAGGAGGAGGATGGTTCAAGTACTGTTGATTTAAGGATTGTTGGGCTAGAAGTCTGTTCACTGCATACTGCTGGTTTAGCAACTGAGCCATTACCAGCTGTTGATTTACCAACTGAGGACTAATGGGAGTAGATACAAGTCCAGGGTGCAGGTTTGGAAGTGGGGTCCGAACAGATGGTTGGCTGCTATGAGAAAGCTGAACAGGGGATGGAGGCTGCTCAGCTGTGTTCCCTGGGACTGGTTGGTGACCAAAGTTGACGTGGTTGGCACCTTGTTGTGACAATTCAGAAAGGCTATCCATTTCAACTATAGAGGAAAAAAACAAGAAGTATTATTTACTTAGATGAAATTATTTATAAGTACATATAAAACAAGGTTATTATTGTATAAGACTACTCCTTTACATTTTTACATAAAATGCATCACTTTGAGGTTGATTTATGAAATTGTATAAATCTATGTACTTATAGAATTTGTTTTAGTGAAACTCTGGTATGCTAAAAAGAGCAATCCTACACATGTTTACTCAGAAGGAAGATTGAATTAATACCCAAGTAAACACACACAATGCTTTATAACTGTTAGTAGAAAGGTCAAAACTACACAATAAAGCATAGATGCACACTATCCATTTACAGTATCTTCAGATTAAATTAAGAAGACAAGTATCAATGAAACCCATGAATTTTTCTTTCTTGGAGATCACAACATCCTACATCCCGGAGCTGAGTGGTATGTGTGCACACATACAGCACACTCAAAGTTTTTTTTCTTGTGCTGCACATTTTACAAAAAAATCATACTATATATTTGAAGGGATAAAAACACTGTCTCAACAAATATGTCATACATTCCAAAAGAATGAATTCTTTTTTTAAATGCATTTGCCTGCCCACCCCCAAAATAAGAAGACTGACAACAATAGCATGTGTTCAAATTGCACAATTTTATTAAAATTACCTATTTAATGTTTGCTATTCTAACTAGGGTGTGTCTTGAACTTGGTGAGTGGCAAAGCTGAGGTAGCATCCATACTTGTACTACACCTTGGCGACTTGGGTGAAACACTCGTGTTAAGTTACAACCGGGCAACCTCTAAGAAAACATGAAGAAGGCTCCCTTAAAGTTATTGAGGCCAGATTCTCCCCAATTTAAGGTCAGTTGATTTCACTTCACCCCATCCAAGTGATCAACAGGTGAGTGTTTTAGCTACAGGCCTTCACCCCTGAAGGGGTGCCTTGGATGTACGCCGAATATCTGATCTTCCTCTCTATCTACGCTAACCTATTTAAATGCCACACCATTCCAGCTAGCCCCTAAAACAGTATAGGGTAGGCAAAAAACCTTCCTAGAATGTAGAAGAGGTAAAACTTCCTACCCAGTCCCAAAGGCAACCATGGCTATACTGTCACATGGGTGGGTGTGGTGGGTCACTGGTCAGGCTCAGAATGAGAGGGGGGGGCTGAGCTATGCCATAGCCCAGCTCCACCGCCTTTCTGGATGGTTCCTCTGAACCATCCATTCTTCCTCAAGGGGGGAGGAAAATTTATTTCCCTCCCCAGCTGCATGGGAATGGAAAGCTCCTTATTTCAAGAAGATGTTCCCAGTTTTCCATAATTTTAATTCCCCCCTACTGGGAAAAAAACGGGGGGGGGGGCATCTTTTGAAAAAGAGTTTTATTTTTGATCCCCCTGTTTTGAGATTTTTTTCCATCTTATTTATCAGATTTTTTTGATGCAATCAAAAGTACAATTAATGCCTAATTCAAAAATTGAATATTTTACACATACCTCAGCACCAAAGGTTCTGAAACCAAAAATCCAAACCATGATTCAACTGAAGGAACAGTTCACAAATTTGTACACATAGCTTAACACACTGGCATCACTAGGGTTGGCATCACCCAGTGCAATAACTCATACTGTCACCCCCATGAACCTCCTCCTGTACCAGAAAACACGACACAGTTTCTGGCTAAAATACCAGACAATTTGAGAAAATCAGTGACTATAAAAACTCAGGATCTATGAAAAAAAGCATGTGTTTGCAATGCAGGTGAAACCACATGATTCAAAACATAATTGTAACTGGATATTAATGACTACTTTGGTTGGAGTGCATAGAATTTTTAAAAAGTAAATTAGCATAAAAGTTTTACTTGTCTACATGCAAGCTGGCCATACAGAAAATATCTACAGGGATATTTGTAGAAGTAGCAGTCATTACTGCAATCTAGCATCTCACAACAACAGAAATGTCGATTAGCTATGAGACAGGCATTTTTTTTCATACAATGGCATCACTGGGGGGGGGTGTGTGCGAGGGGAGTGGACTGCACTGAATGATACCATCAGAGGTGACAGCACAAAAATGGCTGTCTCTAATGTACTTTTGCAGACACTGAACAAAAATGATGTGTCACCCTGGTAGACTCTACTACAATAGATAGTACCTAAAAAGATGTCCTTAAGTAATTGGTATCAATACAAATGTATTCTGCTTTAGCTAATAGCTGTTTTTCAAATTCCTTTGCCATACTTCAGTAAACCCCCACATTTTTACAAAAAGCCAACAATAGAGATTTTGGGCAAATCATGGTATGTCTATAATAATTGAAAATATCGTTATTTTGCAGAGTTAAGGACAAAAAATGGTAGAATAAATCAATTTAAATCTAGATAATTTTTTCTTCCTTCTATAATCCATAAAATTTGGTACTTTTTCCTCAGTGGTTGCACAGACACTACAGTGCAGTACCAAAGAGAAGTCCATGTTTCCAGAATGTGAACAGGGCTTTAAAAGTGTTAAATTGTAAGTATGTGGGCATCGTGACTTCAGTTCTCTTATTTTTTTTGCTTACCCATCATATCTTTTGCCTTCTTGAAATGTTTATACCACCTCCCGAATTCTTGACATTTTGCTGCTGAGACATTTGCATAGTAAGTGCTGTTCACAATGGAAGAAATCATACTCTGAAAAGAAAGAAGGGGAAAGCATCTGTATTAATGAGGTGTTTAACAAAAGAAGTTATTTTAATCATTTGATGGTTAATATTTTTAGTCTCAACACTACATTAAATTTAACACTTCAGTCAATTATGCTGGGATATCCTGCAGAAATACTATTAAAGTATCTCAGATGTACATTATATAATATCACATTTTTTCTTGTCTCTATCTCCATCCTGTTACACCTGTGTAGGCAACTTTTTTTGATGAAAGATGTAAAATGTGCATTTGTTAAAAATATGCTGTGCTCTGTTTTGAGTGTTTAGACTGGTATCCTATGATGCTGCCAAAAGGATGATGAAAAAAATCCCAACTTATCTGACCATCAGATATGACTGTTCATACATTCTCATGTAGGATAAATTGAAGTAGTTCTAATTCATGGATAGATTGTTTTGACTATTAGTACCAGTTAAGTGAAGAGCCAACATGGCCTTGGAAAACCACTGGGTGACTTTGGGCAAGTAACACTTCCACAGCTTTATAAGAAGGGCATGGCAAACCCACTCTGAACCATTCTTGCCTTAAAACCCCCACAATAGGGTCGTGTTAGATTGTTATAAGTTGGAAATGACTTGAAGGTATGCAGCACCAATAGCAATAACCAGTTAAGTAAATAGCCCAGTACAAGGGTTCATTTCATTGTATTTTCTTCATGATTTGATTATTTGAATCCTTCCTTGTTGTATTTCTACATACATTTCATACATGAAAAACATTTGTCCCTACTTTCTACATGAATCTTTGTTAATTTCTCAAAATACAGAAGAACAGAATCCTTAAACAATGGCTTCATTCAAAAGATACCAATTTATTATCTCAGGAAGAATTCACATACTATTAAGATAATTTTGTCCCCAGAGCTACAGTGGTTGAACACAGTTATAATAGGTTGTATAGCACAGGTAAGCACTTAACTTAGAGTTTCTATTGCCTTTTAACCAGAGCTGCACCAATGAACAGCAGCAATTCTTTCTCAATTCCAATCCTCTCTACCCATGTGTGAACTCTAGTAGTTGGCCGTGGCGGATTTGACCTCCCTCCCATCCCTGAAAAGTAGGTAAAAGCTATTGATGTCTGTGTAACAATCAAAAGGAACCACAGGGACTTTGTCAGAGATTTGTAGTATGTGTCTTACTCTCTGTCCTTTAATAATCCATTAAAGTACTAACAGGAATAAAAGCCACATAAAATAATTATATGGTTCAGAAGTAAGATATGGTGCTAACAATTATTAAGACCATGTGTAATGAACCAAGTCTATGTCACAGAAGTAAAAGAACAGTCCAATTCACAGAAGTCCACAGCTGAATTTCAGAGATCAAATGTCAAAAGAATAAGTACTTACAGAACTTTTTGGTACATACGGCTCTCAACTTTTGTCCCCTTATCTCAGTGGTTCCTAGCCTGTGGTCTGTGGACCACCAGTGGTCTGCGAGAATGAAAATATGATCCGCAGCCTCACCATGACTTCGCTGTTGCCTCAAAACCATGCGATAATGAGAGCGACTCATCTTGCAAAACCCTCTGCTGAGTGCCGAGGTAATGGGGATGTTAGGAGGGGAGAGGCTGACTACCTACAAAAGATTACTACTACCACATCACCTCTAGATTATTAAATATGGTTTTCTGTGGGTGATCAGATGGTGACTGCTGGGTGGCATATGTTCTGTATCAGAATAGAGCTGATGTGGTCTATGGAATGCAATTTTCTGAATCAGCACCCTAAATAACCAAACCGAATCTAATGTTGACCAAAAACTGATTTGTATCCCTTTTGGTAATAATGTTGGAGAGTGGTCCTTGGGTCAAGTGGTGCCTGGTCAAAAAAAGGTTGGGAACCACTGTCTTATCTAAACTGGATCTATTATGTTTTTATGTGTGCTAGCATATTAAAATATCAACAAGACAATTGAAAAATATAGTATACTTCATCAACATTTGGAGGGCTGCAAAATGCCCATTATTAGTTTAAAGGTTCACTCTGAGATGTTCCATTTTGTTTCCTGAAGCCCAGACATTTCCTTCTACTTTTAAAATTACTGCAACTTGTAGGCAAAAGAATCTCCAGAGACATTCAATTATTTTCCTTCTTACTGTCAATAGGTTTATATCAGTGATTCCCAAAGTGGGCATTACCACCCCCTGGTGAGTGCTGCAGCAATCCGGGGGGGGGGGGGGAGGGGTCATAATGGCCACAGGGGTATTGGGGGAGATGAATAACTATAAGGGTGCAGTGAAAGCATAAAAGAAAGAATATAAGATTTAGAAAAATTGATTTCCAGGGGGTAGGCCAAATAAGTTTGGGAACCACTGGTTTAAATTATAAGATGTTATAATATAGACTGTTACAATATCAGACATAGATTTATCTAGGACCTACTAACAACTTTTGACTTCCTTGAAAAAGAAAAATGGAAGGGATTTTTTCTGACAATTTAATAGCCTACACATCATTATGTCTATCCCTTGAAAGTTTACTTGAGTTCATATGTTTCTCAAGATTCAGCACCCAAATTTATCCATGCACAGCACTTGTTGTTCTTTTGCTAAGATTCTGATGAAGATTTGATCTGAAATGGTGCCACCTTTGCAAAAGCCCCACTACACTGGAATGATGCCATCTGCACAGCCTTCATTTTCTTTTCCAGACAAATAAATTATTTATAATTATCTCTTCCATAACTGTGTGGCCATAAATTGTTGCATTATTCTGGAACTCAAGTTCATTTCTAGTTCAGTTAAGACAAATTTAAATGCATTCCATATTCTAAGTTGTATCCCATCGTTAGGTGGGAAAATTGTACTGCATCAAAGTTGCATGAAGTGTTGCTTTAAAGCAGAAATGTTTGATAATCAGTTGCATTTGCATTTGATTTGCTTAAAGGAGAGGTTCCTTTTTAGGTATGAAAAAGTTTTTCATATTTGATCTACTATCAACAGAACAGCTTTTATTTAGGGTGGTCTTTCTTAATTATGACCTGTAGATACTCAGAGCATACATGGCTTAGGCCTAAAAATGCAGTTGCTTTTTTGTGAAACAACAAAACATTAATCAGGTCAGTTCAATCGTCTAAACCAAAACTGTTCATGCTTTGCTGCCAAATCAACCTGCCATGACAGACTCTGTTATCTGTGATTGCTCAGCTTCAGGTCATAAAACCACTTATCCCCCCAATGTCCCCAAACCCTCTCTAACATCTTTAATGTTCACACCCTAAGTATTATTCCTGCACATCTGTAATAAAGATGAGAAGCATTCATCAAAGAAGACAGACATTGCAATGTTTACAAAAAATGTGCTAACTGTCCTAGTACGTAACTCCAGAGACAGATGTTCTCAAAGACAATTACATGAACATAGTTCTATTAGGTTATGTTTTCCATATGCAAAATATTTCAAAGTATAATCTCAAAAACTTTTACAGTCCTTCCCGATGGTTAAAAACATAAAAGGAAAAATAAGCATTTATACAACTGTCTTACCCATGTTGAAAGCTTTCAAGCTCGATCAGCAGTGGGGGCAAGGGCTACAACAACTTATTTACACAATTATCTAAATACGATTAAACAGCTGATGGACAAATATTAAACTGGAAAATGTATAGTCATTTCAGCTTAATGTAATCCTCTTTCTGTAAACACCCAAGATGATTTTCCCCCAACTAGAACAGTTCTGACATCTCATAAGCCTAAGGGTGAATAGCAAGAGATTGTTTTTGATAGTTATAAATATTCAAAAGACATGCAGACCATCTGCTTTCATAATACAGGTAAAGTAAAACTGAACTGGTGACTGCTATGCAAAAATGATTCTTTTAACAAAGTCTCTCTATTCTTAAATGCTATAAAGACAGATGTCAAAAACTGTTATATAGGGCAAGCAAGAGTGTGCAAGATGGGCTATTCCTTCTTACACACACAATTTGTGAAGACTGTCTTTTCTTTTTCCTTTTCCTATCTGTATGTTGAAACACATTTCTAAGAGATTAAAACATCTTTTTAAAATTGAGATCTCACAAGTAACCCTAAACAGGGTGTTTGGATTATGAATGCTAAGTGATTCCAACTACAGATTTTCTCTCTTTACGGAACACAAAGTATGGTTTGGGTGAAAGTTGGGGGAAGAATCAAACAAGGCTAATTTTACACTAAGCCACACAGTCAGCTTGCATGTAAGTGACTACCTGTCAAATCAGATTTCCTATAAGCAGACCAAGTCTAATTTCCTTTTTATATTCAGATTTAGATTTATTTATGCTTTAACATTAATCACACATTTCATGAGAGGGCTTGTAACAACATAATGATTTTGTCAAGAGGCAAGTTAAAAGAGACCTTATCTTCTGAGCAGAGTATAAAGAGCACTGCCCATAAACCCTTATAGTCAATTTTCAGAAATGAAACGTTATCTTGACAGTAACCTTTTAATGTATCATATTAATGACACAGCAGTGTTAAGCAGCACCTTATTTTTATAATTCTCAATAAAAGGGACATTTGCTGAACAATCTGTCAACCACTAGAACCTTTTTTTCTTCCCTAAATGAACTTTTAAAAGCTGTTCTATGATTTCTGTATGTTTTCCCAACTGTGGTAAAGGGCATTTTAAACATTACTAGTTTTGATACCAGAATTAGTCTCTACATTGCAGAGCCAATATTAATTAACTGGATGAACTCAAAACAAGCAATATATGAATGAGCCTCCTGTTTTCACAAACAGACTCTTGGATTCTCCGTGGAAGTTACTCATTGGCTTTAGTTTCCCATTCCACCTGAACTGGGAAACTGGGGGCAAGACCTTAAACAATGTTTAATACATTGGCTTGTTTTTGAAGGCATTAACAATAGTTTCCCAATGTAGATGTAACAACAACCTATATTTTATAGTGATTTATTTCACTGTTTGGTCAGGTTGCATGATACATGCTTTATTCTTATCAAGACAATCTACATCTTCAG